TTGGAGCCTCTGGAGACATTCTACATTTTGTTTTATGAGAGGCAGGACATTGGCAGATCAAGATCTTCAGATGATGTGGTGCTGCAGGTTTTTCCGGGTTTTTCTGCAACTGAAAAAGCAAATGCACCACTGGAATCAATGAAGTCGCCCCGGAGTGCCAATTAATATTTATTGTTGTTTTTATTTTTATCGTTGTTTCATAATTTCACAAATAAAATCACATATTTATTTATGAATATATGCAATTATAATCCAAATATAATTATAATTTTCGAATACGTATGCATGTTCTCAAACAGTTTCCCAAAAATATTCAGTATCCCTATTTATAAAAGCGACCATATGATAAAAAAGCCTTAAAAATATTCTTGGAATCTGAAGTGGCAGAAACTTAAAATTGTGTGAATCGTTCGAATCATTTTGGCCGATTATCAGAAACCGTTTTTGTTCAAACTAGAGTGTTGGGCACTTATGACACACATTTAAATCATAAGATATTAACCTCCAAGTTTTGCAACATTCGACATTATATTATAAAATTATATGATATTTATGTTATGCAACCCATTGACTGATAATGAAAGATAAATTTCTGCTAATTTCAACATGACCGTTTTGAGAGATATCTTTGGAAAAACTGACCTATGGAAGATTGTTGAGAGAAAATAGAACCACGTGCCGAATCAAAGTCGATAATAACGGAGTTGAAATTTTCAAAGCCAGAAACATTCACAGATATTTTTTCTGTGGAGATATGTGTGCCTGTGAATTTCAAAGTTGATGAGATATTGTAGAATGTATCTCAACTACATACGACTTCAAAACCCATCGATGAACTTGTCTTTTAGATGAAAGTATACAATTCCACACGCAACTGAGGATTGGTCTTAGATGAACATCTTGTTCATTATTCATTATGAGATACATACAGTATGTCCGCAAAGTACGGAATAAATTCGATATTTCCACAACCAAAGGTCGTTTTACAAAAACCTGAAAGATGTCGATTTTTAATTTTAATATTCTATATTTTACAACAGAGTGATCCATATTAATTTGATGACGTCATCGATATTTTTTTAATTGCAACACCCTGTATTTGGTGTCAGTTTTTGATAATCCGTAACGAGCTGATTCCGAAAAGGTATGATACTTGGGGTCTAACGGACATAATTTGACAGATGTGCCCTTAGAAAATACACGCAAATCAGGTCGTCCTGTAAATGATGATACAAAACTAGATGTTCTACTTGCTTTTGAAGAAGATGTACACACTTCTGTTCGTAAGGTTAGTCGTGATTTCGGTGTCAGTAAAACAACTGTACTTTCAAATCGAACTTCTACAGGAATTGAACGAGGATGATCCAGATAGAAGAATATAATTTTGTGAAGCCATGATGGATAACTGTCACCGTGACCGTCTTCTCGTAAAAAATATGATTAATCAAATGGTGGGGTCAACCGTCAGAATTGTAGGTACTGGGCCAAAAAAAACCCACTGGGTGCGTGAGCATCATACACAATACCCGCAAAAGGTAAATGTATGGGCTGGCATTGTAAGAAACAGGACCATCGAACATTTAAAATAAAGTCATGTATTCATTACTGGATTACTTTACCATTGTGAAATTAATCATTAGAAAATCTAACTACGGTACGAAACTTCAGAGGGTGATTCGATAGGTCGTTTGAATAAAAAAGTTCCTATGGACATATTTCCGGGGTTGCTTCGTTTCTGAAATACAGGGCGTTGAAGTTTAAAAAAACCGTATTTATAAAATATAATAAGTATCCTTACACCGGTTTGGTTGAAATTTGCTAGTTATTTGAAATAATCAGGCACTTATTTAGCCCGAATTAGATTGAAATTATTAGATCAAGTGGTGTCTCAGTGGGCATCACAGCCAATAATATTGGGAAAAAAACCACCACAGACTTTTTTTGTAGTTTGTTTTAAGACTAAGCAATTGAAAACACAACTTTTTCGTCGTAAATAATAATCAATTATGACCTTAAAAAAGAAGGAGAATATCCAACTTCTGGTGGAATAAACGACTGCAATCGATTTGTCATTGAATGTCTGACACGTTCAAAAATATCTGGAGTATTCCTTATGACATTGCAATTGTCAATTATTCGATTCCTCAAGTCATTCACATCAAGTACAGGAGTTTTATAAACAAGAGCCTTCAGATGGCCCCATAAATAAAAATCTAGAGGATTCATATCAGGCCTGCGAGGTGGCCAATTTTGAGGTCCTGCATTCAATCCAGCGATTAGGGTAGGATTGAGATGCTGACGAGCAGGAACACTAAAATGAGCTGGAGCCCCGTCGTGCATAAACCACATGTTACCTTTTACAAGTACCCGCACTTCTTCCAACAAAATAGGTAAATGATCTCACCAGAAAGTCCATGTAGCATTCATCTGTTATTCATGCTGGTTGAAAAAATGGACCAAATAGGTAGTCACCAATTATTCCTACCCAAATGTTCAGTGAAAATTGTTGCTGAAAATTACTGTCTCTAATAACGTGGGGATTTTTGTCGGCCCAAAAATGGTCATTGTGAAAGTTCATAATAGCATCTCGTGAAAAATTTGCTCCGTCCGCATTTAAAATATTTGGTAAAAAATTATTATCGTGTGCCATCGTATGAATCAACCACCTGCAAAACATTGATTTTTGGAAGAAATCCCCCGAGACAGTGGAGCTTGAACACGCTGTATGTGATATTGGTATAGAAGGTTTTTTTAGAACTCTCCATGCGGTTTTTGGGCATTCAAAATTCCTGGTACTATTTGAAGGATCTTCTTCTATTGCATTAAGTATAGCTTCTTCTAGTTCAGGCGTTGTTATAGGTTCTGGTCTTCTACCACCTGTATTTTTAGTTAAAACTCCCAGTTTCACATAATCTTGCATGTAGCGTTCTAAATGTTTTAGCACATGGAATTACTCTGTTAAAATATCTGTCCTGGTAAATTCGCCGTGCTTCTTCCGCATTTTCATGTGCCAATTCATAAATGGAATTCATAATGGAATCACTGCTGATTGACAACTTTGATTTTCACTGATATTACAACACTTTCTTTCACCTGGTCTCCAAAGTGGGTGCTCATGATATGCAAAGTGGCTTAAATTTTTTTTCTCGGAAATGAAGCTAGATATGAAGAAAACACGAGCAACGAAAAAATTGTATTTTTAGTTGATTATTCCAAAAAGAAAAAAAAAACTACCACAGCATGTCAGTGGCGTACTTTTTTTCCCAATAGCGTTGGCTGAGATGCCCACTAAGCCTCCACTGGACCTAATTATTCCAATCTAGTTAGGGCTAAATAAGCGCCTTATTACTTCAAGTAACTGTAGGGAATTTCAACTGAGTGGGTGTAAGGATATTTATGATATTTTATAAATATACCGGTTTTTTTCAAC